CATTCATTCATTCATTCATTCATTCATTCATTCATTCATTCATTCATCATCCTCTGATTCACACAATCATCAAGAATGTCATCCCATATTGCAAATAAAACCTATACATTGTCAATAAAAAAAGAAACCCATAAGCCAACATATCAATATCATGCCCTAGTCTTCTCTTAATTGGACTACTACATGGAGCTGCCCTTGAAGAGTATCTGGAAATTTCAGCTGGGGCAAAATGCAGCGTGCGGGCAGTTATGTGTGTTTCTAGAACATGTTTACACCTCTGCTCCACGAGCTGCTTTGCCTCCAGGTCCAATTCAAGGTGCTGTTTTTGACCTTTAAAGCCCTACATGGCATGGGGCCAGATAATTGGAGAGACTGCCTCTCCCTGATTGCATCAGTCCATCCCATCAGACTGGGCAGAAGAGGCATGCTACGGGTCCTGTTGGCTAGGAAGCTACATTTGGCAAGTCCTAGGAGACAGGCCTTCTCTGACATGGTGTCCACTTTATGGATCATCCTCCTCCCCAAAGTGAGGCTGGCTCCATCCCTGTTGATCTTCCGGAAGTCCTTCAAAACCTGGTTATGCCATCAGGACTGGTGACCCCAGGGGACCGGTGAGATACTGAGGTGGCTCCATTGTTATTAACCTTGTGGGTTTCTTAAATAATAATAATAATGTCCTTGGGAAGGACTTGATAGGTAGGTAAAAATGCCAAATCCAGTCAAGACATCTGGCTGATTGTGTGACCAACCATATTAATAATAATTATAATAGTTTTTATATATTAATTGTTTTTTAGTCTTGCTGTACTCTGCCCAGAGTCACTTTTTTGTGAGATGGGCAGCCACATAAATTTGACAAATGAATACATAAATCATATAGCTGGGGTTCACCAATCATATACTGCATCTCCCAGAATAAGGGCTAACAAGACTGGGGACATCTCAATCACGTGAGTGTGAGTGTGTGCACACGAAAGAGACTTGTTCCAAAGTGCAGGGATTGCAATAAAAAAGGTAGGGCTCCAGGTCCTATCGGATATCATTGCTTCAAGGAGGGAACCTGGAACATGGCCATTTTGTGAGAGCATGTAGGATGGGCAGAGATAATATTTTTATTGTTGTAAATCACTGGGAATCTGTGGTTAACTCAGCAGGTTATAAATGTGACAGATATCTTAGGGACGAGGTTGTCAAAACTTCATGGAGATTTGGGTCTTTTGGGGTGGAGGGGGAAGAACTGTAGAGGAATTTACCTCTGGCCTTGAGAAGGAAGTTAGGGGAGGCAAAACGACTGATCAATCCTGGAAAATAGAAAATATGAGAAAGGACTCAGAACAGCCCTGCTTTGACCTAGTTGTCCTTCAAAAGGGGCAGTGAAGGTTGTGAACGGGCTTTCAAGATCCTGTTCGTGCACCCTACAATAATCAAGTAATATTTCTGGAATCCTTGCAGTGTCTATTTCTTGACCCTGGCCTGCCTTGAAGGGCTAGCAAGAATTTACTTTACTTTTGGTGCCCATGAGATTGCAAGATAATGGCTGAAAAGGCAACCAAAACAGCAATACCAGCTTTGGGGTATCCAGGAGAGGTCCAAAGACAAAGGCAAGCGTGTTCTGTTTGCAAAGAGAGCTGTTTTCAGCTTTGCTCACCTAAATCCCGCTCACAAGCATTCAAGCAGAGGCACAAGCACTGCCAGCACTGCTACATCCCTTACACCACAGGTTTTAATAATTAAAACTATCCATCTGAGAGCATCTGATCTCAGTGATTGATTTCACACACCATCTTAAGCCAGAACGTTTTCCTAATGTCTAAATCCCCCAGATGGAAAATGTAAATTTAAAACATGGTTTACTCACATACAATGGACCTTGCTGTGGATTAAGTTTCATGACCCAGAACGCTAAGGGAAAAAATAAAAACAAAAAACATTAGTCCAGTGAACACAGAAGGTTAAAAAGAAATTGACATCTGATAAAAATACTCTAGTCCCTGTTTTGGCTTACAGTTCCAGTCACTGGGGCAGGGATTAGGGAAGCAATAGTCCAAAAGTTCTGGAGAGCACCAAATTGTTTGTCCTGAATTCATATCATAATAAATGTGTTAGTCTTTATGGTGCCAGAAGACCCTCTGTGCAATTTATGTTTAGAAAACATTTTTACATAGTTGTTTCCAAAAGGAAAACAACCAAACAAATCCTAATTACTTATAAATGTTTCAGATATTATTTGTGATAATAAAAGGTAGAATTCTATCCAGGTAGCACCAAACTATTTGAAAAAAAGGAGGAGGAAGAGAAGGAGAAGGAGAAGGAGAAGGAGAAGGAGAAGGAGAAGGAGAAGGAGAAGGAGAAGGAGAAGGAGAAGGAGAAGGAGAAGGAGGAGCCTGTTACAGAATGTTAATGATGTACATTTTGTTTTTCTATACATCCTCCTAAATCTCAAAAAATAAAGTACCTGGAGACGTGCACTCTGAGTTGCCCTGAGCTTGGCCAAGAGAACAAGGCCTTCACTTAACAAGACAGAGTTAAGTACATTTTTTAAAGAACGATTACATTGTGCATATATCTCTCTCAAAACATACTAAGCGGTCCTGCTGGCACTCTGCGGAGTTCAGTGAAGCCCTTCAAGATTTGTCAAACGCACAGACGCTTTAAGATTCAAACAGCATAACCATACTTGGTGTTCTCTTACCTTGATGGCTCCGAGCTCATGCAAGCCTGATTATTAACTGCTCTTTAAACATTTGCAGAATCTGATAAAACTTCTCCTTGTATGGCCTTTGCAGAAGAGTGTCCTAACAATTGTTAGTGATATGATTCTCATGTTTCTCTTTGCCAGATAAACTCTGCAGACAATTTGCCAGGGTACTTTTAACAAGATAGATTCTCTACTCTGGCAGTATCGTTTTTCTCTTTTACATGCCCCCCCCCCCCGGCCCCATTGTGATAGCACAGGAGACAATAATAGCAGGAGGTACAGTTTTATGGCCATAAACACAGTCAGTGTGGATACAAAAGATTTCCATCTATTTTTTATAAAAGGTTGTATGATGATGCCCAAAATCATTGATTTTCTAATTTATGAGGGCTGGAGATGATGGGAGTTGTGGTCTAACACAGCTGGGGGTGGGGGGTATTAGATTGGGAAGAAGGCTAGGAGAATCCAAAATAGTCAGGTTACCACTTCAGGAACCTTCAATTCTGAAGATTTTCAGATGTTCCTCAACTTCGATTCCCATCAAACTTAACAAGCTAGGCCAATGGTAGGAAACAACAGAATCTATTCCAACAACATCTAAAAGGTCACACATTGTACAAGCATTGGGGCACGGGCCACACTTTGCTTTTGAATGGTGTCCCAAGAGTCACCTTCCCAAAAGGGAATAGGGCCAAGACAAAATTGTGTTTGCTTTTATTTACATGAAAAACTGTTGCCATCATTCTTTCATGCATGTAACACCTATTTAAACTTGGCTGATCTTGATAAAGATCTAAGCAGGATTGGACCTGGGTAGTATGTAGAATGAGATACAGGTGGTCCTCCTTTAACAACCACTTGTTTAGTGACCGTTCGAACTTACAATAGCACTGAACAAGTGGTAGTTATGACCATACCTCGTACTTATGGCTATTGCAGCATCCCCATGGTCACATGATTACAATTTGTGACCTTCCCTACCAGCTTTCCACAAGCAAGGAAGGGGAAGCCAGCAGGAAGTCAGAAGTCACAGTCATGTGAGGTCTTCGCTTAATGATCCGCGTGGTCCTTGCTTAATGATGGCAACTGGGACTGCCAGAACTGCCATTGTAAGCAGCATGGTCGTGTGGTTTTTCAACTTGCAACCAAATTGCTTAACACTGGAGTTTCTGGTCCCAATTAGTGTAGTTAAACAAGAACGGGATATCCAAACACCCTAGAAAAAGGCAACAGCATACTTCCATACTGTTGCCGAGAAAACTGTATGGTTGTGTCTAGGGAGCTGAACTCAACTTGAGGTAATCTTTTTGAAAAGAAATAAGTTACTCCCCAAGCACTTAATAATTTCTCACTTCTATTATGGTTACAATTTTGGAAGGGAGCAATGCTTGGGTGTTAGATGGTGACAAATCTTATAAATGCTGTCAAATCTGCTCTAAGAGCCACCTCAACTATCCTGAATTACGGAGAAGGACAGCATGCTCAGCAACAGAATTCACATGCTGTGCTGTAGCCGGGCCACAGAAAAGTAGTTTTCTCTGGTTATGTCTTGACCATGGTGCAAGACATAACCAGATCCCAGAAGCCAGGAAGCAGTCTATAATGCAAAGCAACACCTGGAACTGAGAAAAAAGGAGCAGAAACGTGGGGCTTCTACAAAGATATTGCTTCAGCACTGATGCAAAGCCGACTGAGCTTTAAAATAGAATGAGAGAATGCAGCCACATCCAGTCTCGAAGTTACGTGTCTAAAAGGGCCTGCACTCATAGTCTAAACACTGGTTGTGGCAAGGCGGATGGGTTTATTAGGTGACATCTGTATTACCTCATCGTCTGCTTCTGAATTTGAGGATATGGAGAAGCGAGTTTTCAGGGTGGTAGTGGTAGAAAAGTCTCAGTTATAGAATCATTGGTCTATGAGTCATCTTCACTGCCAAACCCACCATTAAGGATCAGGGTTCTTGACCCTTGGCAGGCACATCCGATTCCCAGCATTTCTTGGATGGGCTGGGAAAAATCCCTGGGAAACTGCTGTTAATCATTTAAGATACTGCTGAGCTAGAAGGACCAAGAGAGGAGAAGGAAGGAGGAGGAGAGGAGACCTTAGTGTCCTAGATTTATAGTGGTTAGGCCCTGGATTCGGCCTTCTGCATCTTCAATATATTGAGCTTCCTATGTTCCAGGAAGAGATGGAATCCACAGCCAAAGATCTGGCAAACATCCCAGTACTTACAAGCAGTATTTATTTATTTTTCACATTTTTATCCCCTGCTGGTCAGACCAAGGCCACTTAGGTCATTGTTGATTCTCCTTCAGCAAAGCCTGCTCTTTCACATGCCTACTTATTTTTTCTTTGATGACCAAGTCTACAAAATTTGCCTTTGAGTGTCAAGTAGATGCAATCAGGACCATGTGATTTATTACCATTTGGTCTTTCAAGATATTCTAAAATATCCTCTCTTGTTACCTCCATTTGCTGTAGTTCTTCTGATTCCTTCCTTGAAAAATCAATACAGGTTCCAAAACTGATTTTATATTTTCTGTAGTAAGGACAAAGGCAATGAATTCATCTAGTTTCTCTGCAACCTCCATACTGTCCCTGAGGATCCCTTCATTCCTTTGTCATTTAACTATCTGACTCCTTCCCTGCTGGTTTTCTGCTTTGAATACAGGTAGTCTTTGTTCAGTGACCACTCATTCAACGACCGTTTGAAGTTATGACAATGCTGAATGAAAGGACTTATGACCAATCCTTGCAGCTGCAGCTGTCACAATGTCCCCATAGGCACATGACCACAATTTGGGGGGCTTGGCAACTGGCTCACAATTACAACAGCCGCAGCATCCTACGGTCATGTGATCGCCATTTGCAACCTTCACTGCTGGCTTCCAACAAGCAAAGTCAATGGGAAAGCCAGCAGGAGGTCGCAAATGGCGATCACATGACCATGGGATGTGGCAACTAACAATGGCAACTGGAACAGCCACAACTGCTGTCGTAAGTCGGTGCAGTCACATGATGTTGCGCTTTATGACCACATCACTTAGTGACAGAGTTGCCAGTCCCAATTACCATCATTAAGCAAGGACTACCTGTATATATTAAAAGAAGTTCTTATTGTTTTCTTTGATTTTTTTTCCTGCACCATCCTCATTTTTTTTTTTTTTTTTTTTTTTGGCTTTCCTTTTATTGATTTACACTTTTTTTTACTGGATTCACTGCTCCTTTTCGTTCTTCTCACTAGGACAGGCTTTCCTATTTCTGAAGAAAGCCTTAATTTTTACAGCTTTGTGGACACTACTAGAAAGTCATGCTGGTCTCTTCTTGGATTTGGCTGAACCTTTCTTATATTGTGGAATTCTAACTGAGCATCAATTATTTTGAATTCGTTTTAAATAATTTCCGTAGATTATGAAGAGATTCAGCCCTCTTGACATTCTTATTGGAAGGTAATTAGTCCACAATAGGAATTTCTCAGCATACCTCCCTGAGACATGGAAGATATGGAAAAAGATGCTGTGGATCGAAAGATGGACTCAAAGATGCTTGATTATGAGAACGATATGGAGAAAGAAGCTGCAATGGATCAGAAGAGTGACTTTGAGAGTTTGGACCCACAGAAGGGAAACACCAAATCTCTGAAACCTTTTCTGAAAATAGACAGGGAGAGAATAATA